CAGGTAGGAAATAGAAATGCTTTTAAGACTGTCTTGTTTGTTTTCTGCTCCAGACCAGCCAAATGGAATTGTTAGAGAAGCTGCAGTACCATTGCAATTCTCTTTAAATAAATAATGCCATTGTCTGCATCAAGTCCAGCTAACTGGACCATATTTACAAGATGTACAGTAGCTGGTCATCAGCAGTTTGATAAGAGGAAAGAAGCACAAGCACAGAGTTGCTTAAGGCACGAAACAAGGATGTATTTGGATTAAACCCCCACTTCTTCCTGGCCTATCTAGTTATTTTGAAGTGAACAGATTGGAATAGAGAGTTTCTTTTCATTGTTTGTTATACTTCAKTTTGAGGGTAGGTACTAGTCTGAAAATTATAATGTAACTGCTGTAAATTGTTGCTGCTCTCCAGCAGAAATTATTATAACTAAAGCTTTACTTCAGAATTCTAACAATTATTTGTAAACCCTTGATGAATTATACCTTGATAGAAGTAGCAGAGTGTGTGGGGGTGGGTGTTTGGTTTTCTTTTTCAGCCTATGAAATAGAAGAAAACTCAAGAAAAATCCCATTTTTGTTTAGAACAGTGAAAATCTGGGGGCTTGTGGTATGAGAAATTGAAAGAAGACATTTAGTCAGTGTACTGTCATAATTTTTTTCTCATTTATTTGTAATTTTTGTCCATATTTAAAAGAACTAGCAAGGACATTTAAGACACTTGCTCTCTGTGTTCTTGCAGGACATTTTAAGCATCAAGATAAAAATATTGCCTCATCTAGATTATTAATGTTTCATGGAAGACACATTTTTATGTCTTCAAATCCATCTGAACGAGCTGATGGTGGCTTGTTTACAGGACTGTTTTCATACATTCTGCACTAAAAGCRCCTCTGATGAGCTTTGAAATGACAGCTCTGTCAACCTATTGTAGCTTCACGTCCCTCAATAATTWTTCTTGCATTGTTTTCAAGACAGTGTTTTTTCCTCTTTGATGTACTTGTCTGGAATGATAGGCTTCCATGAAGCAATTTACTAATTTGTATTGCGTAGCCTTGAGTGAATACTTCTTTATGTGAAGTAGCTTGGTTATCTAGCAAAAAATAGATTTGATATCCATGCTTAGAATTACAACATGGTGAYGTAAAAACACCCATCTGAAATCACTGAGGTAGCGTTGAATGAAAGTGAAATCCAACAACTGTAAAGGCAATTTCCAAAGAAGTTTTGAGGAAAATGTATAAAGTTCTAATAATTTTTATGTTTCAGGAATCAAAGTGGAGTTTCTTCAAGAGAAAAAAGAAACAAAACACTAATTTTGAAAACCCAATATATGCAGAGGTATGGTTTACAATACGTGATTCTGTTTTTTTAGCTAATGTATTGCTGGATTTTGTTCTTGTTTTCACAGGATAAAGATTAGTGGTAGATTGATTCTGCTGCTATGTGAAATAGCACAGAAATTCCAGTCCAGGTTAGGGCAGGACTGAAGTGGTTGTGAGAAGTTACCAAATGTCATGCACACTGAGGTGTTGAGCAGACTCAGCTGGGACAGTGCAGCTCYTCCTGGCATTAACATTAAAGTAGGAGTTACAGTCTGTGGAGTAAGGTTTTAGTTTTGTTTTTACTCAGCTGTACTATCTGAGGTGAAATTACTTAATTTGGTTCCAGGTGGTGATTTGCAAATCATCAAATAATTTACACCAGGACATTTACCTTTAGGAATATTTATTTAACATTTCTGAAAGTTGATGTTGGATGTGTGGTGCATTAGAATGTAAGGTTTGATTTTATGGTTGTTGTTACAGATGGAAAAGGAACAGCAACAGGACACAGAAAATGTCCCTGCCCATTCTCCTTCATTGCCTCCCAAGATTATTCTGAAGAGAGACCAACCATTAGCTTACACAGCAACAGAGGATACATTTAAAGACACCGCCAACCTTGTTAAAGAGGACTCTGTGGTATAACTAGGTAACTCATTTAGGGAAAATTAGACACATCCATTTGCACATATATTTTTTATAAACAGAAGAGTAAGGTTCACATTCAAATGCTTTATAAGAATATATAAGTTTCTTAGCCAGTGGCTGGAGATGTACGTTGAAACTATGCCTTGTTTTTTGACAAATGCCAATTTCTATTTTTATGAGCAATTATCGTGATGTACTATATGTATATCTTTGCACTGAAGCTGTTTGAAAGTAATGTTATAAATATATTGTACATTTGTAAATTTTTCTAAGATTATCTTGTTCAGTGATGTTGCTAGTAGAAATTTGTATGAAATTAGTGATACATATTTAGGGCTAAATTAATTATATAAATGCTTAAAACTAAAAAAAAAAAGATGCAAACAAGGCAAATATAGGAACATTACTGATTTACAGGGTCTTTAGAGTGTATCTTTTATAACAGCACCTTTTAAAACTTCTACTGGTGCTCTGGGCATCTTTGCCACCTGTTTTATATACTACTGCATGTCAAAATGTCTCTTTATCTTGTGTTAAAAAAAAGATGAAAGAGTCAATGCAGCATTAACATGCTGAGGTCACCTGTGCAAAATGTTGTTCTTACAATATTTTCACTGCCTGAGATCATTTCCTCTCAATACATGTACTTTTCCTCTAGGTTCCAATTAACACCATTCCATTAATAGTGTTCCTATAAAGACTGGATATATTTAGATTTTAGTGCCACAGCTACTTAATGAGCTTTTCTCTTGCTCATCAGTGGAATACCTCTGTTCTTGGCTGGAGTTTCTGGAAATAATTTGTACTGTGAAGTAGCTTTTCTCCAAATAGCAAAATATGAAAGATACTGGTTCATTTCAGAAATTATTCAGGTTTTTTTTTAATGTGAAAATTTAATTTTATTGACTATTTATTTCCTGAGGTGGATATTAATAGAAAGGGAAACATTTTCTACTAATGCAGTCTTTGTAGTTATCTGGTTGTTTCTATAACCTTCCATCAGAATATACTGTTGACCTTATTAGCTCTTCTRTTAATTAGCCAAGGTAGTTTCCACAACATGAACCATTTGAGAAAACTCCAATTACAGGAACATATTCTTCAGCAATCCTGGCTAGCTACTCATATAAAAGATTACTAAACTTATAATCATTGTGACTTCTGCTATTTGATTGTTTTATATCTAAATTCTCAAAAAATATACTACTTCTAATTAGAATGCTTRTAATTACTTTGTAACATATACTTTGATTAGAAAAGACAACTGGATAATGATGCTGCTGAATAAATCTAATAAAAGTATTATTTTATCACATTCYTATTCCTATTCAAGGCTCTGTGTACTTTTTTCAGTTGTGGAGACTTCAGTGCACTCTGAGATGAAAACAACAGGGCTTTATCTAAAATCAAATAAAAATAGTGCTTACTGCTTCACACAACTGTCTAAAGTTCTTCCTGTAAGATGTTATTTTGATACTGGCATTTTATTTCTTTAAGTATGAAAACTGCCTCATTATCCACATTCAATAAAYTGGCCCTTGAAACAGGAAACTCTTGCTATTGAGAGACTGACAGTCAAGACAGTGTGGACATAAGTGATTAAAACCTTAGTTCAATTAACTTTCATATCTGATGTCACAACTGGATGCTTTGGTTTACTTTTTTCTTTAAGCACAATATCTGTTTTTTAAAAGCATTTTTTTCTGAGTGCATCAATGTAGAAAATTTCTTAAAGTCTGCAACACAGCAGACATACACACACACACACACACACACACACACACACACACCTGCAAGGGTTTCTTTGTGGTGGATGGTGGTGTTCTTAAAAAAAGAGTTCACAAGGATTTTTAAAGGGAGTGGGTAGGGCTGACACTTCTAAAAGACTTGCCTGCAGTTGTCAATCACTACCAAAAGTAGCATCARTTTTGGGAATAGTCTTTTCAACTCAAAGATTTGGAACCAGTGTTGGAGAAAAYTCCAAGTATGTCAGCCATGTATCAGAAATGTTTTTTTTTCTCCTGTAGTAATTTTAACTTTTCAGATATGGAAGAAAACAGTYGCTGGGTTACTCTGTGCATAGGTAGTATATAGGTTTGATTCTTTAGAATAGAATAGAATAGAATATCTGATAATGAAGGAATCCTAAGCTTCTACTGGGACTCCTCCTCTCAGTAGCAAAGCACAGTGTACCCTTCTGATTATGTAAAATTTAAGGTTTAGTACTTTGTACAACAGAAGTTTTAGATTATATTCCTAACTTCACTTGTATTCTTTTTCCCTTATCAGGACAGTCCCTGCTTAAATTCTTAAATTTTGGATTCTTTCTGTTTCAAAGAAAGTTGATTTTTAGATATCTCAGCAACTGTCTGTAATCTGTAAACCTTTATAGGTCTGATAAATTATACCATTAAATTTTTTAATGTACGTTGTCTTTAAAGGTGTCAGGGCCAAATAGAAAAATTTCTCTCTCTGCAGATATTTATTGTAAAATAAAGTAAAATAAATTTATTCTTGAAGCCATTTGCTGGAGAATAGAACTTCAATGAAATACTTCAAGGCTACTAACACTTTACATTCTGACCTTTTTTTGCACATTACAAACACACACATGCCCTCTCACACACAGTGATGAAACTTCTTATGTTTGGAGTTCTGACCTGCACATGGTATTTTTTTAAGCTTAATTGAATTGCTCATTAATGATTAATCGCCAGCACAGCACTTTAGCAAATAAAACCTTTACCCCTTCAATTTAAATATCTCTAGGAACACYAGTTTGTGAGCCTCTGGCCAACAGCTTAAGAGATAGAAATAGTGTACAAGAGCCACAATAGCCTCAACTAACATTTTGCCATTTTGCACATACTCTGTAGCATTGAAAGGATTTGCCATAGCATACACTAATGACCTGATAAATAAAATAATAATCCTTTTAACTTGTGAAACAAACTGATGATGAAAGAAATGTGAATCATGTTGGTTTTAGTATTTTCCCCATAAACTGTACTAATATTAGGAGGAAAGTTAAACTATCCATTTGGATACTCTGTTTGCACAGTACAGTAGAGTTTTGATTTTTCCCTGGAACTGCATATCTGTAAAATAGCTTGTTTTTTTCTCTGCGGAATTGAATAATTAGGTAACTAGGTRTTGTCAGATACTGTAATTGTAATTTCTGGAATATGCTGCAATAGCTGAGCTCTTTTGTTATTKGGCATCATGTCTTGTGTTCAGAAGCTTATGAAGATTAGCAGTTCCTGAATATGACCATGATCAATCTTCCTGTGAAATAGATGACTGAATCTGACTAAATACATTCTGCAAGGTACATGGATGTGTTCTGAAAAACCACGGCTCTATTTCAAGATCCCTTGCAGCCTGTGTGTTGAGGAAGTCTACTTGAAAAAGTCTTCTAGTGATTTATTTTCTTATTTAATTTTTTCTTAATTGTGTGAACAGTATTAACTAGCTTTGTAGCAGAATATTTTATGAATGCAGATCCTATAGAGGTATCATTTCTAAGCATAAAAAGTGGCCTTCAAAAACCTGCTGGATWTAAAAGCCTACCTGTGAACTCAGAATTTCAGGTAAGGTGGGGTGCGGGATGGAAGCATCTTTTGAAAAGAATTTAAACAGTGTAGTAACTGGTAAAGGACATCTAGTTTGATGGGATAAATATTTATTTCTGCAGAGGTGATACYGTTTTAATACTAGACATTAATCAGAACTCCACAAACTGGTCTCCTGCTATCTGCTTGAGYTGGAAACGTAATACGCAACAGCATGTCAGATAAACAGCTTGGGGCGTAGGAGAGAAACAGCCAGAAGAACTTTGCATCCCATCCAGCTCTGTATCGTGTCCTGGGGTACTTCGCTATCAGGGCATGTTCCATGCATTTTATGACATTAGAAAGATCATAGTCACACAGTCTTTTCACTGATGATCTTTGGGCTTTTATATCTGTATAAAAAAAACAAAAAACCCAAACAACCAGAAAGCATTTATATGCAACATCTCTGCAGTGTTCTTTATACACAAAGGTTTGGCTGTGGCTTCAGGCTGGCTTTAAACTGCTCTCTCAAGTACTGAGAGCAGTATAGCTACAGCAAGGCCAAGACCATAAAGGCTGCAAAACACCCAGAAGCCCAATAACCAAAAACCTCCCTGGCCCATATTGTGAGCCAAGTGTTCCGTACAGTAAGTGCAGTGTGACACAGCRCAACTTATCAGATATCTAAGCCATAAATGTAGCATATGGCCGGAGCAGCTCATTCCCATTGGGCTCCCTTGAAGTTTTGAGGGACTGAGAAAGGTAGCATGACCTCACTTCTCACCAATCTCATGTGTGAACTGATAGCTCAGCCCTTGTCTAATAGACACATAGTTGAGAACAGTCAGGGATGGGTTCTTAATGAGCATTAACGACGTCCAGTAAACATTCACAGAGTCACATGTGGGTTGAAGTTGAAAGGGACCTCTGGTACCAAGCCCCACTACTTAAGCTGAGTCACCTAGACTGCGTTGCCTAGGACATGTTCAGATGGCTTTTGAATATCTCCAAAGATGGGCACTCCACAACCACCCTGCACAGYCTGTTGCAGTTCTCAGTCACCCTCACACTGAAATGTTCAGCAGAAACATCCTGTGTTYCAGTGTGTGCCCATTGCCTCRAGTCCTGTCCATGGACAACACTAGAAAGGGTTTGGCTCTGTTGTCTTTAAAGCCTCAATTCAGGTATTTATATATGTTGATAATATCCCCCTGAGCTTTCATGCTGTTCTTTTTCTACTTACATTCAACAAAGTATTTTTCTTCATAGGAGTCCCTGATCTCAGGAGTCAGGCTGTTCCAAAGTCTGAAGAGGTATTTCTCGATATCTGAATTTACTACTTCTGCCTTAAAGAAACCATGCTCAACAATGCTTACTTTTACTCCAAAATGCTGCATCTCTATCCTAGGAGGAAAAAAAAACAACCCAATAATCTCCCTGACCACCCAATAATGGCATAACTATGAATCATAAGTAAGTTGAAAATGTGTCACATGAATATTTGAGACTATTATTATCTTCATATAATCAGAATTATTTTGAGATATTCAAATTAATTTCATTGAAGTGTACCTGTCCTGTAAAAGCAGAGCAGASAATTCACTGAGGAGAAAAAAGCTGTTTCAAGTAGATTCGCCACTCTCTGTGTGGTTTAGGTTGGACTCATGCAAAGGATGCAACAGCAAAGATACATCTTAATCATGTATTACTGTACTAAAACTTGTGACTATTTAATATACTATTCCATCATTTTACAGCAAGAACAGATTATTAAAGTRTCTGGGAAAAAGTAAAARTGGGAAAAAATTTTTGATTGGATTAGAACTTTATTCTCTGTCCTATGGTTAAATACTAACAYGATAAAGATTAGTGTGTTTCCTYRTAGTGTGRTTCCCTCTATGTAATTTCAAATTGCAGTGCAACTRCTTTGGGGGAAAAATGGCATCTTTGTCTTGCTGGACAGCTCAAGAGACAGAGGCAGCTATGTTCTATAGCATACAAAGAAGTGGACCACACTTCTGTGAGTAGACTGCACGTACTTTAGCCATTATTTTCTGCTTCTTTGAGGAATACACTTTCTTTAAATWAGCACTCACGATGGTTTGAAACCAACTTTCCCAGTTGTTGTGAAGGCTTGACTCACTGGGCTGGGCCTTAGCTTTCTAGAAGCAGTACAGTACAACTGGTTTCAGTAAAGGGTGCTCAGCTTAATGTTCTGAAGTCACAAGTTCCTTTGGTGATGGGATTGCTGTCTGGAATCACCCAGCTCAGATTATTCTGGAGAATTAGAGCAAAATGTATTCTCCAGAAATCCTTCTGGAGAATATTAAAGCAATATAGTACATCTTGCCCAAGAAACTGGATGTCTGGCCATGCAATATTGCTGATTCATTTTCAAGTATGCAGCACATTCACATGCCTGAAATCTGCATGCTAACAACTTGTCTAGTATATGAAAATTTTCGAAGTGCAGTTCCCTGCTGGGTCTGTCCATAGTACAGGAGACTGAAATCCTAAAAAAGTGACCGATGTCTTCTTTTTTCTCCTTTAGGCAAGATTTCCAGAGAGTAATCCAGATGAGCAAACATGCAGTCACCCTTCCTCAGCACATCTGGAATCTGTTCTTGGATTCATGTTTCTGGCTACTCACCGTAAGGTGTCAGAGAAAGCTTCCATGCCCCATTTYGACAGACTGTAGCCACCCCCTACTAAAGCCATGAGGCCTTTGGCATTAATTAGATTGATGACTCTTCCCTCAGCTTTTTTCAGAAGTGGCAGAAGCTTGAGTGTGATTTCAATCACTCCYAGCAGGCTAACATCCAGGACTGAATGGAAGTCTTCAATTGTCAGACAGTCAGTGGGTGCTACAGGTGCTGATCCTTCAGCATTGCTCACCAAGCCAAAAAGCCCTAGGAGAATTGCAAAACAATTTATTCCAGAAAATGGCAATATCTTATCCTGGAGTATCATATGTGCAACAACTTTAGTGAGATTAATACTGTTATCCGGGGTTTGCTTGGATGATCTACTTTGTCCCCCTGGGAAAATTTGCTGAAGAGTATGGGCAAAATATGAAGGGAAAACTTTTTTATTTGAAGATGTGGGCCACCATGCTTATACAGAACCGCTGAAGTATGTAGGCTACTAATGTGCACTTGTGTTCTTGTGAAAATCAAATAGTCTGAATAGAAGCGGAGAGACTGATTTTCCTGATTTGGGGACTAAAGGTCTGAACCAAATGTGTAGAGTTAGTCATTACTTTTAAAGTTGCTAGCTTAGCCCTGTGTATTGATAATACTGCTTTACTACCTTTATAAATTACTTGAAGAACTTTAGATAAATAGTGACGTTTCCAAGAGTTTGCTGAGGACARCCTGTGCCTGAGGAGAGAGGCTGAAAGTCCACCACTCAGCCTCCATAAAGAGTTTCACACACTTAGGTGACAGCTTTAGCAGTACCTGTCCTGGCCAAGAATGTGTGGCTTTCTATAAGCTGGGAGCAAGAGCCTGCTGGAGGAGGTAAGTGCTAATAATTTTGTTAAAATTGCTCTCARTCTCTGCGTTTGAGAATGGTCTTGAATATCTTGAATACCCATGATGAGGCCAACAGTCTTTTACAAGCTTTGAGGAGAAAGTCCCGCTGGTAGAGGATACATGTTTTCCTGGTTTAGGTAATGAATGAATKAATKAATTAACCTATTGAGTATTTRGTATAACTGTGTGTTACAACTGGAATTTACAGTGCTGTGATTCCCTTTGGTAAACTTTGAGCTATCAGTGCTGATAAATGTGTTTTGCCATGCTTGCATATATTTACCATGCAGGTCTTTTTAGCACCCTTTGCCAAAYCCATCACTGAAGCCTCATAGGTATCTAAGGTTAAGTGCTTCCTCTTTCATAGGAGTGCTCAAAGGCATATGACAGTGGTAGTGAGAGCTACCTATGTAAACAACTTCAAGAAAACTAGCTAAAATTGCATGTTTAACTGTTACACTTAGTGCAATTTTGTGTACAATGCAAATGTCAGACTTATTCAGCCAAGCAAAAATATTCTCTTCTGTTTACTAGGGGACGGCTGGAGAAGCCCCGCATTGGCCATTTTTAATTGAGTGGGCTGAATATACCAAAAAAATTTTCTGGTCCCATTTAGTACCTTACTCCCCCTGAAGGTGGAATTCTTCAAATGCACCAAAAAGCGTTTGAAAAACATACCTGGGAATTATCTGGTTTTAACAGACTGAACAACTCGATTTTTAGGCACCTGTTGGTGAAAGCAGGGGGAAGCATTGCTGGAGAGAATATCTTTGAACTGAGAAATGACAGAAATGAAGAGTGAGTGTGTTTCATCAGTAAGATGAAAATGACCTCTGCAGTGATTGAGGGGCAATCGCAGTTTTTGCTAGACCAGAGTTGGTTAYATGGAATCATTTTTCTGAGAAGTTGCCTTGTTACTTACCCTTGCCAGCTGTCTGTTCAGTCACAAACACCACGGCTCTGGCAATGCTGTTGGAGTCTGCTAAGTTCAGATTCACTGTCTTCAATGAGAGTGAGGAGCAGGCCTGGAGCTCTTGGCCTCCTTTTCCTGTGGCACATGCAGCAATGACACAAAATCCCTTTTTGTCRAGCCATTTAGCCAGTGAGTTTCCAAGTCCTGTGTCACAGCCCATTATGAAGACATGCTTTCCATTCAGGTTACCCACTCTGTATCTGTCTCTGATGAGCCAGTAAATGACAATAGAAAATATGGAAGCCAAAATTGCTATTTGCAGAGAGTCTGAAAGTGAGAGCTACAAGAAGATAAGTTAATGATGTAGAAGTGAAATGAAGCAAATGTGCTCAGGCAACCCTCCCACTTCCTGAGACATAACTTCTGTAAGGGGCTTTAATTCTGACTGATATCCTTCCAGATCACTGTATATTAGTGGAGAGCAGGAGTAGTTTTGTCACAGTGTGATTGGGATCCATGAATAATGTATGCTTTGACAGAACCTTCCTTAGCTTTCTTTTCAGAAGATTCCCTCTGTTTTCAAGCTTTGCTGACCAAACTTTGTAGTCCTTTAAGGACATTTCAGAATGAAAGGAATGACCTTATCAGTTCTGACAGTAGAATCTGGGTTTTGTTGTCTGGGTTTTGTTGTCTGGGTTGTTTGTCTGAGTTTTGTTGTTTGGACATTGGTCATTATTTGTGCTGAAACTGGAGAGAAATTTCCCTGGGAAAAAGGATGATTCTCTTTGACCACTTGCATGATGGCACTCAGGCTGCTTTTCTAATCTGTGACATGGAAGCAGAGTGACCCCAAGAACAACCAGAGCAGTGTAAGCTGCAGTGGTGGATCTGATGAGTAATTTGTGACGTGTCTGGTGTTGTGTGACAGACAGTGCTCTGCTCTCTGCCACTCAGACAAGGTAGACTTTGGAGCAGTGCTTGACTCGTCACTTGTTGCCTGTTTAGCAGTGACACTCAGCACAGTAGAACATATTATATAGGAAGAGTGTTTGTATAAAGAAATGTGGAAATACATGGAGATGTAGGCCTCAGAAACATTTTTTACAAAAGCACAGAGGAAACTCAAGGTTTCTTAACTATTGGGGAGGATACTGTTTGCTTATTATTACAAAATGTTTTGATAAATGTATAATACAGTTCTTGCATGTAAATTCTTAATAATTGATTACTAATTTTCATTTGGATTTTCAATTTTTATGAKAACTAAATCGAATTAATTAATTAAAGTTAATATTTATGGGACATCCAATAAGCATATTCCAGACATCCTGCCAAGAGAAACTTTTTTGCAGATGCTAAGGAGTCACCTAGGCTTTAGTTACTGAAATATATGTAGAGGTGCAGACATCTCACCTTTAAAATATGACACTTTTAAAAATATGCCTTTTGTGTAACATTCTTGCCATCTCAAGACATGAATATTAAAGGAAGCCCAAAGTATTATGTGGTTTGCTAAAGCCTGTCTGTTGYTCTTGTTTCTGCTGAGTCCATGGACTGATTTGGATTTATTCTGATTCTAAATTTTGCTGTCACCTCMTAAAGTAGGTATGGAAGGACTCTGAGAATCTGATAGTGAATGAATGTTGAACTCTCATTAAATAATTAAATCATTTACAAAGCTAATAAAGTATAACAAGTGACAACATTCATTGCCACTAAATTATCTTTACATAAGTGGTGCCTCAGTAGCCATTAATTTGAACTTCTGAGCTATTGACTAATGCTCGATTTTAAAACATTAAGTAAACATATTCAGACAAGAGTTTTCTTCTTCTGCTGCTGTCTACAGGAGGCCTTCCACTGAATTTTTGGGGGGTTTGCATTGCTTCCTTTAGCAGCCCAGCTCACTGTTGTYTTGAGGTTGATTGGCCCTCTAGCTCAGGTACTCTGCTTAGACTTGGTTTTCTTGCTGTGAATGTCTGTTAATTTTGGCAAAGATTACGTTATTCCCGAATGTGTGCTCTTTGAAATAATCTTTGTAATTTTTCGCTGGGTCGATGACAATTATTTTCTGAGAGGACTCAGAGTGTATTCTGACAAAATGCCATTACAACTGTGTGAAAGCACTCAGGCTAATTAGGCTTTCATGCTGTAAAATAAAATCTGAAAACAGAATGCAGCAGCCACTGATCATAGATCCCCCCAGTCCATTTGCAATGATGTGCCAGGCAATGACATTTCCTTTGACTGCTCATTTAGAATCTGGAGCAGAGCTAAACACAAAGAAAGAGAGGAGCTGCTATCAGCAGGCTCTGGTAACCCCAGGCCACTAAATCCCACCACGGTATTCAGCAAGTTAGTGCAGTGATATATATACTTTAGGACTCACATTGCCTTTTTTCCAACACAAAAATAAACAAAATAATTAAAGTTTTGGGAAAAAGATTAACCTAMTTGAAAATGGGAACTGTAAATCTTCCTTCCTTGGCTGTGCTGTAAGGAAGAAGCAGTGGAGAGTGAGCTTGCACTACTGGAAAGCAAACTAAATTTGAAACTGGACTCTGTGGATGAGTCCTGGAGTGTTTGACCAGTCTCAGTTGAAAATTTTCTTTCATGAAAATCCTCTAGTTCTTTGGATGTGTGATGTTACCCAAAATATTTAAAGTATTTCTTGTTTGATAATTGTGCAGTTCTAAAAAAGCCGGAAAAAGCCACTTGGCTTCCATGATCGTGCTGATTTTGAAATAGCTGCATGGAGTGGCAAACGGTGTGTTTGCAGAGAAAATTTCAGCATGGCATTTCAAGAGTATTGACATGTCTTCATAAATATTGAATTCAGATTAATAATGTAGTCAGTAAATAGCTAAAGGCAAATTCTYTTTTCCATCAAAACTTTGATATTTGCCAGGCAAATTGATAACTCGTGTGATAAAGCTTGGCTTCTCATGCCCCAAGTGCCATTGTGAAAGCAATTGATTTTAGAGAGAAGCAGCAAGAGCCCTTTAAGCTCCTTAGATGACTGCAAAGCACAGCATCCCTCTGCTTCTCTGCACTAAAGGAAACTGAAACACTTAGACTCCATATTGAAGGAGGGTGTTACTGATTTACTGCCACAGCAAGTTTGCTTATGCCAGAGAATTTTGTTGGGGTGAAGTCTGGGCTCTGAGTGTGCTTTGGATTCCTTCACCCACCACTGTGCAGGCAGTGCAAAACTCCAGAAGTGGGTTCCCTGTAGTGGGCAGAGTGACCTGCCAGGCCTGAGGAAGAGCTGCTAAGGGGAAATTTAGAGGCTGTGGTTCTTCAGAAGGAGCATTCATGTAGCACTCAATGGAAGGTTTAGATGTCTCAGGCAGTGCACTGAGAGATCATCCAGCCTCCATCTCAAGAGCCTGGGAAGCACAAACTTTAATTATCAKTCATCATGCCATAGCTACAAGCCCCCTAGTCTTCAGTTAATTAATTGAATAAATAGGCAGGCACAAACACATCACATCTCCCACTCTTAGGTGAGCTATTCCTGCACATGCAGAGCTTTGCACTTTTGTTTCAAGCCTTTGAAAAAGGAGTGCTTTTTTATGCTGTGTAAATATGTCAGTGTGATAATTTAACTTGGTGGTTGAGAGACAACTTAAGGTCTTCATTAATATGTCACCTTAAAAGAAATACACCTCTGAACTCTCCTACACAGTGTTTTGTAGGAAGATGAATGTARTCGGGTACAGTGAGGTTGATTTTTCAGCATGATTGCATCTTCTTTGTATGGCTTGCACTTCATATTTTTACCACAGCATCGGTAAAAGCATCAGGAAAACAAAACCATTTAAAATCTTATGTCATTGACCCACTAATTGAAAATTGAAGTAGGGAAAAATTCCAGAAGTTGGGAAGAATATTTCTGAGTTAGCATTTTATTCAGGACCTCTAGGTGCTTAGATAAGCAACACTTGTTAAAATTACTGTAGAACAGAAGGGGCTGCACGTTCCCTTATCTGTGCACTAGAAGACAAATGCTTAGCTCTCTTAGCTATCCTGCAAATGCATATAATAGGTACTGCTCACTGTAACAATAGACACAAATTCTACTCACATTCTGGGGAGACATCTGCAGGCTCAGTCCGTACCTCCAGGTGCTCATGAGTTGCCTTCACTGGTTATTTCTGCTGTCTGAACACAGAAACAGTCTGAGCTGCTCCTAAGCTTGTGGAACAAGGCCTGCATGGTGGTTTAAAAAAAAAAATCTCATAGTAAATTCTGTATCTGCTGGTACTTTCCTGATTTGACACACATCAGGAGGGCCCCTCTGCCTGCTATTGGGAATTACATGTGCTGTGATCTGTCTGCTTGAAGGATGTATTTGGTATTAATCTTCAGGCTATGCTGTATGCCTGCCTTGCCTACCTATGTTGTATAAGCATTGCTGGCTATATATAGTGATTTAAAGAGCCTCGGGGCTGTCAAGACTCATTAAGGAGACTAATCTACTGAGCTGGAAAGAACTGATCTGTGCTTTGTCTTGAAACCAGCAGGAGTCTTTCTGTTGATTTAATAGAGCTTGCTTCAGACCTCASCCTTCTGCATGTGAGCGAGTTATTGTTGATATGACTTGATCTTTTAAGATATATCTTCATATATGAAAACTTTCGGGGATTAAATTATTTTGACTAGTCTGGGGGCAGGCTTTTGATACTAAGAACAAACCAATTTCCATGTTTCTCAGATAAAAATTCAAATACTACAAGCGGTACAAATGGAATCTCTACGGTTTGAATGGGCACAGATCCTGACATATTATTGCTGGGTGGCTTGTTGGCTTAGTCTTTGGCCCAGAGTCTGGTGGGCACTTCTGATCCAGCTCTGAGTACTACTGCATAAACATGGCAGCAGAATTTCTTTTCCCCATTCTATATATCTCTTCATTCACAGTGCTGTGTGGTGCCAGATGCTGCAGTAAGTGAGGAGGCTTGGGCAGAGATTGTTCCCGACAGCAATACGGATAAATAAGCTTTTTTTGTGAAAATTTATTTGAAATGAACTCAATGACTAGGAAATTAAAAGTGGGGAAACCAAGTAAAGCAGTAGGATGGAGCTGGCAGTGATCTTGCCCATAGAGTTGAGTGGATGATGGCAATGGCAGCCTGTCCCMGACTGGCTAGTGACAGCTGGTCTGGCTGCTCCCTGACAAGAACTGCAGAGGTTTTAGTTCATCCTCTGCAGAGCTGCATGGTGRGCAGCTCTTCCCCCTCCAGTTTCTYTCCCTGCTCCTTCTRACTTGAGCCTGGAAATTGTTGCTTCTTTTGCCACCCTAGAGTGCCACAGGCTGTAGTGTTGGTTCTTACCATACTTTCAGCACTGTTGGGGCAGTCAGGAGATGTGTGCAGCTTGCTGGAGACTTGGGGGTTCAACAGGTGGTTTCAACAGACAAAGATTTCCTCTCCAGGACAAGCCTGGCAGGAGTGCCTGCATAGCCTTGTCTCTCCTGACTGTAATGACAGGCTCTACAGAGAGGTTGAAATGACCACAGAACAGCCCTCTAACAGCATGCAAAACCTGTTGCAGGGAAACATTGCTCAGTGTCAGGTCAGGGGCTCTGCTGTTGTAGGAGCAATCCCTTGCCATGCAAATGTAGGAGAGAAAAACAAAAGGAGTTTTTCTTTCTCTGTCACTTTTTTTTGTTGTTGTTTGCTTTTTGGTTTTTTTTGTGGGTTTTTTTTTTTCCCCAGCAAACTGCTTTTGAGCTGCAGAAAGTTATTTCAGAAAGCTAATAGAACATGCTTAGCATTTCAGAAAGCATTAAAATCTGGAATTTTCCCAGTAAGTTTTGGTCTTCAGTATAAAACATCCYGCTAGTGAGGTGTTCTTCCGTGAAAGGTAACGAACACACGCCTGTCAAATGTCAAGTAAAATAAGGTGTGGATGTGGCATGGTATTTTGAGGAAAACTCTCTTGCCTTTTTTTCCTCTTCCTGGCTAGAAATGAGAACTGATGATATAAGAGTGAGAYTGAGGCCAACAGGCAACCAAAGGTCGAGCAAGGCAAGCAGGAACCTTTCCCATTACTGTGCATATTTCAGTAATACTAGCCAGAAAAATGCTTTGTTTTACTAAAACCTTTGGTTGTCAGGGCTGAACTCTCAGGGAAGAAGGTAGCAAGGACTGCCTCTTTGCYTCTGAAGCAAGAAATTTGCACCAGCAGGCTCTGGGTGTTCGCCTGTGGTCCCTGAGCACAGGAAGGAGGGTGCAGGTTGGAGCACTTCATCTGCTGAACTGAGGCTCAAGCTGTGTGAAAACATCAATACTGCAAAATATGTTTGGGAAGAGCCTGCATATCTGGGATTATACTCCAGCTGACCTAATAGTGAGTTTATGAGTAACTATTGATGATGGATGAAATTCCACTAAGAGAAAAAAGTTCAGTTTTAGATTCTATATCAGCACTCTTGGCCTGGAAAACGGGAGATACCTAATGCAATTGACTAAAAACAGTCATTTTAAATAAATTTAAAGGAGTACAGAACTTTACAGAGATTGCTTACAGACAATCCATCTCTGCAGGGCAAAATGCAACTTTTTGCATAGTAAGTTGCACTTACTATGGTCAAATTCTCCTTTGGCTAAGCTTATTTTGGAAGGAAATTGCAATCACCTGACATGTTTTTTAGAGTAATAATAGTAACAGAATCAGTGCTTTTATTTTCTGCTTGTACATCTGCTTTCTGCTCTGATGTGGAAAGTCCAATATATCTCAGTTTTTATTGCAAGCCCCATGGCTGTTCATGGTGCTAAACACAAATATGTATTCTGGTGAAATGCAGCTTCTTGTGCTGGCTGGAAGTTACCCAGCATTTGCAAAAGCTGCAATTGAGAGATGCAATTTTATTCACTTCCTCTGCAGCATCAGCAGTGAAGGAAGTATGAAGAAGTCACCAGGTAACAGCCTTCCCTGTGCAGTATTTCAGAGCTCCTTTAGGTCAAGGAGAGTTTTCTCTTGGCATGTATATGCATATGTAACAGACCCAGCACAGGGGCTGCCTTTCCTTCTCTAGCAAACCTCATTAAAATGACCATTCTCTCTATAATATCCCTTACTCTGCTTGGAGTTGCCCCATTCCAGCTGGTTTGCAATCTGGGCAGTCCTTGCCTGTTGCTCATCAGTGCCAGGGCAAGCCTTGTTTCTGGAGGCTGTGCAGAGCTGCCCTCCTGGGCACAGAGGCTCTGCTTTCCTGTCCCCTGCCTGTCCTGSGACTCCAGCCAGGCCAGGGAGCTGCACCTCGTGCCTGTTGAAGCTCATGGCAGCAACCCAGGGGCCCAGGGTCAGAGGCAGCTTGAAAACAGTCCCTCTGGAGAAGGAGGCAGAACTGTGTTTCATCACATCCTACGTTAGCTATAATGGCTATTAGTAAATCAATATAAACAAAACAGAGTTCTGGCTTAATCTGTAATCTGGTCAATAAACAAAAATAAGAGCAAATTTAGCTGGGCTGAAGGAAAAGGCTTGTTTCTGGCATGACAGCAGACCTCTCTACAAACATGAGACTTGAACTGATCTCTGTGAACTTTAATCAGCAGTTGGACTTTATATCAAATTAATAAAAGTGCTGAAATTACAAAGTTTTCAGTTAGAGTGCTTTTCAGTCTGTTTCTCTCTCCAGCTGACAGGGAGACTGACAGATCCAGTCTGTCCACAGTGGTCCAACTTGGCAATGTAAAAATCTACCTATTATTTTTGATAGGGGCCACAAACCAAAAATTAATAAAAGAAACAAAAAAACCCAAAAAACAAAGAAAAATATTTTTCTGTAGTGTCCAGGAGGGAGAGTGATAAGAGGCATTCTGTGAGAAGCCCCATAGGTATTTGTTTGGTGGCATTCAGGACTGATTGGGAAAGGGGAGAGGCAAGCTCACATGGATGTGCCAGCTTCTGGCAGGAACAGGTGAGGTGACCAGTGGGGCTGGTTGCCCAGAGCATGGGGCAAGCACTCTGRAAGATGTCCTTTTGAAAGAATTTTTTTTATTTTAACTCGTTCAGCCACCTAATTTTGTTATAAAAGTTTTAGTTTGCTTTTAAAATGTATAGTGGGGCTTTTGGTTTTGTGTTTTGTTTTGGATTTTTTTTTTTTTTTAAGAAATGTTTTTGCTATCGCTGCTATTTTTGTTTGCATAAGTATTTGGAAGGGAGAAAAAAATCCTGGCTGGTTGCCAGACTTGGTTGGGATCAATGGGATAAGTAAGTGCGTGTCCTGCTATTGGTAATTTCCGAGAGCAGATGGTGAGGGGCKAACTATAGAAAGAGGTATTAAAGTGATACGAGCTGTAAGCAAAATGTTTTCCTTCTGCTCAGACCATGAGAGAGGGAAATTGTTCTGGCWGTGTTGCTCATATTTAATCAATTAACAGTATCTGCAATGTACCAAATTTCAGAGACTTTGCATGTGTCCTCTATGAGAATTCGAGGATGGGAGCGTCTGCCCTTGGTCTCCTTGATTTACTGAAGTCCCACTCTGTTGGGTTTATTTCAGTGGCTAGTTCTTCATTCTCTGAAGGACTGACACTAGGAAGAAAAACTGAGTTTTTTCTTCTCAGAACATCAGAAGGAAACAAAGTACAAGAGGACTTGAGGAGATGGAGTGGATTTTGCTAGTTTTTCCATTAACAGGTGTCAAAAGTGGAAGGTGACTCTGTGGGCTTTATATTCTCCCCTTTCCTCTGCACAGATGGATGATTTTTCAGCATAGATTAATTTTTATGGCTGATGTCATGAAGTTGGAATTTATTCATCTTMAGGATTATTTGTAAGGATGATTTGAGAAAAGCAGAGGTTTACAAGGGAGCAGAGCCCTTCAAAAGGATTGGGGTAGCCTATGATCTCAGCTCCAATTCATCACTGCCTTAATCTGCTTCATTAGCAGTTTGAAACAGACTTTACACACAGTTTCTGAATGCTTAAATGAGCAAAGTTGTTAAATGGGGGGACCAAAGTAATTTGTGTAAAGCTAAAATTATATTCTGTCTTTGTCAAGCCAAGTCTTGTCTGAAGATGCTGAATGATTTTGTGTGCAAATGTGAGCTCCGCTCAAGTACCTTGAAAAGCAAAGGCATTGCATTGCCTTTGGCCTGGAGAAGCTGTCAGAGGTGAATGAAATAAAGCAGAGTTCTATGCTATTGTATAATTTTTCGTCCAGGCTTTACTCTCCCACTCAAGTACCTGCAACGCGCTGCACTGCAAGTAACTGTTTTTCTCTGGCTCTGTGCTGTGGTGAACAAAATGRTTATCACTGTGCTGTTACCTCTGACAGTGTTATTTTCAAAGCTGGGCTGTGTACAGTGCTATAGGTGGAGACTTCTTTTTGTTACGATAGCAGCAGAAGACACCAGGTTTGCACGGAGTTCTGCTGTCAGTGTGAATACAGTAATGATGCTAAACAAGGAAAATTGGATTTCTGGGCAGCTACATTTAATCGTGACACACTTTTGGGCATGAGGCTTTATCAGAGAATGTTTGAGAGAGCAGAAGACTTGAGGATTGCTGACGGTGACTATGATTAAGACTCTGCCTTTCTATCTTGTCCTATCAGTCAGGGCCCTCTGTAGAGTACTGATTTCAGAAAAGAAATAAAACCTTTTTGCCATTTCTCTTGAAGCTATGTAGTGATATTGTCTGAGGTCATAGCACTTTCCTCATCAGTGTCCCTTATTGAAAAATCCATGGAAAGCTCATCTCCAAAGAGAATTCACTATTACTCAGGAGCTTCCATGCTGTAAAATCTTAATTTCAAAGGAAAACACTTAAAAAATTAGAAGCCATGTGGAGAGGGGCAGACTTAGAAAACAAAGCTTTTGAGCAAGTTTTTAATCTGAATTTATCAGGGGCAGGAGTGTACAAAATTATTGTCTGGCAAATAAAGGTGCTGATAAAATAATGCTATAACAATTCTTCCCATGCATTCACTCTGAGTTGTTTTCCAGAGAACTGTCTGGTSTCCTTATGTATAATTATTTTCCAAGTGCCCTGACTTTGTGTTGTGAGATTGCATTAGTCAAATTTAAACACTCCATTAGAAGTCAATGAACTGAAAACATTGTGACTGCACGGYTATTGACCCAGGTGCAAATAGCCAATGCCCAGTTGAAAGATTCAGTTCTGACAGATGGGTTAAAATAATGAAAATATGCTGGAAAATGGTTGGGTGCTTCACTGACTAATTGAACAGGGTCCTTGCTATTTGTCTATGATTCTATGATTTTTCACAGCCAMGGGTGAGTAATAAATTTATCCTGTTTAATATTTCAGAGTTAACTGATGACACTTCCTGAACKGAAAGGTATTGTATGTTTTCTTTTGGGACAATTGCAATTAATTCCAACTGCATTCCCTTTGCACAGTTAGTGTTGTTTTGTTTGTTTGTTTTTAATTTTTAATTTTTTTTAATGAGACTGTTTGAAGAACAAGACGTTAAAGTTCTATTTTGAAGCAATGTGTATTTCTTCATAGATGCTGTCACTAATATGTGAGGAACCTAACTTCAAAGAAACATGAAGGATAGTGCTTCCAGGGCYAATTTTAATTGATATTTTCTCTCCCCTCCCTCCACTCCCTTTTATGTTAAATAAAGATATGATCTGAAAAAGAGGTGATYTGAAATAGATTTCAAAGGGCTTTGGATCAGATCTTAATGTTACTTCATTTAGAGGATGTGTTCCTTTGTTAGCATTTTTCAAATATTACTTATTTAAATCTGGATTTTGCATTCCTCAAAGATTTTTTTTTCTCAAAAATCCAGCAAYCATACTGTAACTGCCTAGAGTAAGATGCTATTTCACTTAAGTTTTTGAGGTATTCTCTGCTACCAAGTTGTATTTTGCACACTCATGGGTAGATGGGATGATCTTTTGCCTTCTGTTATCTCTGATTTCTATTATCTCAATCATTTTAAAAGCAGATTTTTCAAGATGTTCTAAATGATTCCCATTAAACATTCAAACCTTGTGGAAGGTTATTTTAATAATCTAATGCAGCCTGCTAATCTGCCATACTAATCTCTTTATGTAAGGTAATGAATGATGCCCATGGAACAGGATAGTATTTGATGTGTTGAGCTTTAGATAAAATAGAAAATATATTTCCTTTCAAAAATATGGGACAGTCATAATTTTATTGGAAAAGTAACATTTGTATATGGGGATTACATAAAAGCTTCTGTGCCTTTATGTTGTGTCTATTCTAGTCCTGGCCAGACATTTTGCTGTTGTATTGGTTCTTTGTCTTTACACATTTACTTAAGGAGACAATTTGGTCACAGTTTAGGGAGTCTAAAAATGTGAGGGGATCAGAGTTTACTGTCCAGTAGATGAATGGATTGTCTCTGCTCATCATAACCTTTAGACAAGAAAAACTTCATGGATAGAGTAGCATTCAATGAACCAGTGCCCAATGAATGGATGTACTGAATGAAGTTCTGCAGAGGTCTGTCTTGTTTATGGTATAATACAGTAATGTTGATAATTATGTGGATTATACAATGGAGAATATAATTATTAAATTTGATTGTAACATAAAGGTAGGAAAAATTGCAGGTGTGTTTTGCACATATTCCTGAAGAGGATTAGAAATCAAAATTCCCTTAACAAACAGATAAAATGGGCTGAAGAATGTTAATTATGGACAATTGCAGGCAGAATTAATCAAATGTGAAAACAGTTTAGAAAGCTATTGGCTCCATAGCAGATTGTTTCCAAAAATTTAGTGGCTGTGGTGGATTACATGAATGTGAAACAACAACGTGATAATTTTGTTAAAAACCCAAATGACAGACTAGGTTGCTTGAACAGGAACATAATCCATGATGTGAAATAATCTTTCTCCTTTGGCTGGTATTGGTAAGACTGGTGCTGTAGTGCTATTGTGAACTCATGACCTGATTAAAGATGTGCTAGAATCCACAGGAGACCAGTGGAAATTTTCAGATATTTAAGAAATACACCCTAGCAAGGGAAGTTGAGTGAGCTGCTTTCTTCATCTGGAGAGGGAGACTTTCTGGTATTATTAGAATAAATACAACCTAATTAAAAGTGAAAAGCAACATTATGTTTCATCTGCTTGGTAGAATACACAAGAAGTAAGATTCAGATTATACATTAGGAAAAATWTGTTAGCAAGAATGATACTGAAGCACTAATTGCTAGATGCTTTAGGCATCTTTGATAAGTATTAGTTAAAATGAAATAAGAATAAGTAAACTATGCATTARATGCTTAGAATTAATCAAGAGAGTTTGGTCTTTCCAGTCTTATTGATGTTTGATTTCAATGCCAAGAGAGGTATAAATAAAACACAGGAAGGATAAAAAGAGAAGGGTTTGGCTGGGAGTCAGCAGTTCTTGAAAGCCAAATTGAAGAGAAAAAGAACAAAAAATGAAAGGTTGAGTAATTATGCGAAGTGAAATTATTAAAATTATTATTAAAAGTCACACCTGCATCCTTAGCCACTGGACTAGGTCCTTCTGTTGCCTCAGTTTATCCAGGAGTGGTGTTTTTCCTTCATCCTCGGGTAATTTCAAAACCAAGATGCTTCTCAATCCTTCCCACTCATAAGGAACTGCTTGGCTGGATCTAATCACACATCTCTTGGGCATTCTCTGAGGTGTTTCTCTGCTCTGTAGTTTCACTGAGTCAGTGACATCTGTTATAACTTGTGCTGTAATCAGTGCTATTGTCCCGGGATCTTGAGGRCAAAACTGAGGTAAGCAACAGTTTAACATAGTATTTTTCTATGTTCACAGACTAAGGTATGCTGATGCTCCTTCTCTCCCCATCCCCAACCCCCATCTCTTTTCAGGACTTCTGATTGAACTAAATTATCATCATGTCTGACCCAGTTGTTCTGCGTAGCATCAAGAGGTTGGGAGAGGATAACTATGCTTTTGACTCAGATGGAAAATGTAAGAAGTTTTTTCTTCAGTCACCTCCTTATGTTATAAAKCATGGAAAATAGGTGGTGGGTGGTTGAAGTGAAACAAATAGTCTACAGAATACAAAGCAAATAGTCTGTGGAATAAATAGAGTTATGAGGTACCTGCTGTCACAAGTATGCTGCCCCCAAAACAACTTTTTGTATAAAACTATATATAATAGCCCCTACTCAKGGACTATCTTTACAGGTCAACTAACCAAGTTCAAGGTAGCTACACAGGTATCTTTTCTACACTTGGTGCTTCATTGTACAAGTAAAAGGCTTTTATTGAGGAAGAAAAAGAAGTAAAAAGTGCTGTCTTCCATTGTTTCTTCCAGCAAACACTCATATTTGGAGTCATTCATATATCAGGCAGAATTCTTATGAGCTAATTCKAAGTGAAGATCTGCATTCCCACTTCTCATCAGAGCTTGTCCTCCTTTTTTCCATTTTTCCTTTGCAATGTGCATTTTTCCATTTTGTCAGTCCAAATGCAGCAAGAGACAAGGAGAAGCATGAAGAGAAACTGCTAAATATTTTGAGTTCTATTTGTAAGACCTCAGAAAAACAAAACAAACAAAAAAAAACAAACAAGAGTGTGATCATAAAGTAATAAAGTACAAAGGAAAGCAAAACAGTAATCTGTAATGGAAGCTAAATTGCACTACAGATAAAGGAGATATGTCCAACTTCTGGGACAGAAAACTGTTCATCTCTTACAGACACTGAACTCCTGGGTTGCTTAGACTTGTCTTGCTGGTTTGAGGAGTTGTTTTTTGTCTGCTAGTTTGTTTTACACACTTGCTGCTTTAAATTGTTAAGAGATTTTTGCAAGAGACCATCTACTGGCAAAAGACTATTCTTCTTTTGACATTTGGGTTTTTTTAGCCTATCAAGTGAGTTTGCCTCCAGTTCCTCAGTTTCCTTGGAAATACAGTCTRTAAGGAGCAGGTTGTTGAACTGCTACAGTATCTTTCCCAAAGCTTTACTAAGTCCTTCACAGAATCTTTTGAAAGGGGCTAAATCCAGACCTTTTCTAGGGACTAAGGAATTGTCCTACAATGTAATTATGTCTTGTAGTAGGATTCYGTTTCTCTAAGCTGTGGTTCCTTAGACAATGTCCCAAGAGAAGACATCAGTGTGACAAGTTCATCCTACCCAGGACTACAACTGCCCCTCTTCCACAGGGTTTGGAGTTTGAGTTGTTGGCAGGCAAGACTGAAGAGCTACCACTCCTCTTTCCAGGGAGCATGCATGGAGTGACAGTATGGCAGTATCCTCAAAGAGACAGTGCCCACGACAGCTAGCTGAATATTAGCAAACTGCCTGCAATGAAAATTACTTTTGGCAAATGTCCTGAAGAATGCTTAGTGTAAACCACATCCTGGCTATATGTACTAGTGAGAATAAGATATTTATAACTCAGAAATGATCAGATCCTATGGTATTCTAGAGTTTATGTTTCACATGTATAAATAAGATTATGTACTTTAACAATAATCATTAACTAGACTGTACATTTATTTTCCATAACAGGTAACGGCTTCAAGAAATCAGAGTAAGTCATGTACACTAATGGAACAATCAATATTTCTAGGAATATTCAAAGAATTTWATGTCATTGGATCAAATCGACAGAATTTTTATTTTTATTTTTTAAAAAAAGCTGTTCTCTAGCAGTTGAACTGCCTTATTTGATACAACTGGAACAGGTAGACCAAAGCAGTCCTAGAAACCTTTAAAAACATAAATGCCATCAAYATGATCTTCCTTCTGAAAATGTTTTTGATATTCAAATTTATCTTTCTTATGTGATTTTAGTTTGAAAAATTACTTTTGCAGGAATTTTAATCGATCTTGATTAATTTCTCTTAAAGCTTAACTGTGAGATTTTAAAGTAAAAGGAATTATCTTAGATATTAAGATTTAAATGTTGAATTCTGGGTAGTTAAAAGCTGGGATGATTTAAAGAATTTKACTTTCACCTATTATCAGAGATCTGATTGGGATTTAGAGCTTCCTCCTTCCTAGACTTTTGGACAGCTCTGTAGTAGGTTTGACAACTTAATGCTAGAATTSGAGCCAGCTCTTTCTGACACAGTGTACCCAGTCTGGGAGCTACCCCTAGAGTAGGAAAACTAGAGCATCTCCTAATTTTTCTCCTTGTCAGGTTGCCCATGTAAGAAARCACTAGCCCMTTATTAAAGGTCTACCRTGTCTTTGCACCTTGAAACCCAAGYTGGACTTTCACATGTAACACACATATGATCCTACATACCTGAAGAAAAGCTTCCTTTAGGCTTTCTAAGATCTGGTTTCTGGAAGTATTTTTTGACAAATATAGATTGAATTAAATTGCTTCATTAAAAACCAAACCAAAACAACCCACCACAAATAGAATATCCCTACCTATTCATCATTGAATGTGCACAGCTGCTGCTGATCCCTWGCTATGTATGGATCCCATCCATAACAGGGCAATCAGTCCCTTTGATTTGAACTGATCACAYATAATGTAAGCACTGAAGAAAAAAMCAGCTATGATAGGGTGAGAGATTCTACTGCTCTATGGCAGTGTGACTAATCAGGCAATATCATATAAGAAGGAATGGGAACAGGACMTTTCTCTGTCTTAAAGAAAGGACTAGCCAGCAATTTTGGGCAGTAGRTTTTTMTTTAGCTGGCCTCAAAGAACTCACRTTATAGCAACAGTGTTTTGAGGAGCTGCTCATGGAACAAAGTATAAACCTTTAGACAATTTTAACCTAACCTCCATTCTTGTCCCTGCCTAAAATTTAAAAGAACCATCAAATCACAGGTTCCAAAGAAATCTGAAACAAACAGCTTATCTTTTGTAGTCTGAGGCAAAATATCTCAAATAAAATGTCATTTCAAAGAAGAAACAAAGAGAGTAAAAGTAATAATGTACAATCTTATCCTTTTACCAGAAATTTCTATACACACGAAGAGCCTTTTATAGAGAAGAAAAATGAAAAGTGAGTTAAGTTCAATTCTTTATACTTTTCATATAGAATAAAATAAGTGCTAAACTACAAGTTTATAATTTTATGTTTTCTGTTGTTAAAGGTCGTCAGAGAAGAAGGGGAACACTGCRCGTGTTGGCTTCTTTCAGCTGGTAATGAAAGCAATGTCTATAAATATTTGATGTGTATTGTAGTGCAGAATAAGTGACAATAACCAYTGAGGTTGTTTTGGKGTATAGCTGTGACTAAGYCAAACTTCTAAGGATCARATCTTTTGGCCTGAAATCCTACCARTAAAATTCAGTAGGAATTCAATAGAATTTCTTGTCTTTTAGAATATTAACTATGAGAACTTGCTCTGAGATGTTTTGTTGGTTTTCTAGTACAATTTCTCAGACTTTTGAGAAATTGGCTAATTCTATTCAGAGGGTCTACATAATGCCCTAAGGCTTTTTCCTCCCTTTGCTCTCTCTCTGTCCCCACAGGAAATCTGCAAAGTAGACTATATATATGAATTATACTTACTATTCTTAATCTCTTGGCTAGTTTCTGAAATAATGACAATGTGGAATGATATTGATTTATTAATGTTATATGATAATACATTCATTCACATGTTAAAAGGAAGCTCATAATAATTTATGAGGCTGTAATCACAGATGTAATTAGATTAGATTGGACAGAGAGATTTGTCTTCTTTCTATATTGAAGATAATTCTGAAATTTAAAGAGAATGTTTTTAGCTGATCCACCTAATTAATGATGCAACCAGTATGAAGACTGTCTCTCAGCAGAAACCGTATTTTTTCTTTCTTTAGTTTCGATTTGCATCATCTATGGAGATTTTAATGATGGTTGCTGGTAGTTTCTGTGCTATTGTTCATGGAGTAGCCCAACCAGCAGTGTTGCTTGTGTTTGGTGCAATGGCAGACACATTTATTGAATATGACATTGAAATGCAAGAGCTGAAGGACCCAAACAAGACATGTGTGAATAACACCATAGYRTGGATTAATGGTACTATTCATCAGAATGAAAAGAATGCTACAATAAGATGTGGGTGAGTAATGGGTATGTTTGTTTCTTTCTCATTGTTATCATAGCTTGTCAGAAAATGCATTGCTATTGAAGGTCCWGTTCAGCCTCTAAATCTTACATTTTCTGTTCATAAGGTAGAAAAGAGGCATAGTTCTTKTTACATAGTCCTGTTTCTGAGCTAGAAATATTATCTGGAGGGACAGAAGGTTGGCTTGGATCTCTTGTAAAGATGCACCAAAAAATCGATTCTTAGGAAAAGTTACAGGTTCAAATTTGGCCTTAACAGGTATCTGTATCTGAACAAATTATCTAGACTTCATTTATTACATTTAATGGAAAGAAACAAGTAGTCTTATGGGGCAGTTCTTTTGATCTGCCTCAGACATCCCCCACAAGCTAAGATTAAYTGCATTCTAGAAATGCTCATTTCTCTCTGTGACAGAAGTTTAGCTWACTTGCTCAGAAGTCAGCAGGCACCTAAAGGTGACTAAGTCCTAACCAGGATGACCAGAAGTCATTAYTACYTACAGTGTAATCAGAGAAAATAGATTAATGACTTCTGATACGTAACCTGGTGTTCCCTTTTGGCTTAAAATTTCAGTGTACAAAATTTTGGGTAAATGAAATAAAATTTGCTGTCTGTGGGATATTTCGAAGAAGTTTTCTAAAGGCAACTATATCTATAACAACCTCTTTCAAAGGTTCTAAAAAGCAGCAATTTGAAGCCTTTCACTGATATTAGAAGTAAATTAGCATTCCTACTTGAGTAACAAAAATTATCAGTTCAAATTAGCAAGTTTATGGTAAAAAGTAATATTTGAATTTACTTTAGCAGCCCTCACTTCTCTCTGTAAAATGCAGTTGAAATCTGAATGTTATTAGTTG